ATGGAATTACTTTCAACAACTTGGTAAACAATAACTTGGGGAGCATTGCCATTCAATTAGCACATGAACCTTCCTTCATCATGTAATAGAAACATGACGAACGTAAAAATAAAATGTTGCTAATTTTCTTTCATTCATAGAAATCAAATTATTGTAAACAACTTGATAAACAAAAACAGATATTAAGCAGACGGCCTTTCCTTCACCATTTAAAAGGGACTCCACTGAGGTTTTTAGACATGACCTGAATTATATTGTATGATCTGAAGAGGGTCTGTGTGCTATATCCGTTTTCCCAGAATCATCCGTTAAATTGTGCAAACTTTTATTAAAATAAAAGCGTTTATAATGTTTATAAATCAAACAGGACCAAGAATCTAATAAGAAATCGTTTCTTAATTTAATTCTGAATATATTTCTTCATTAACTTTTGTATACAATTTATCATGTTTTAAGAGCCAAAGTTGATCATTTTTAAACAATAAATTTAGTCCTTTTGACGTTATAAGCTCCTTTATCAAAAGCATGATGAATATGACATAATACTTTGCTTAATTCTTGTTAACCCTGAAAAGAAACAAATCAAATCGACGTCAAGTATAATTGGTAGCAAACACGTATTTTAACTAAGAAAGTTTACTATAGGATATGTTTCTAAATGAATAGTTACCGGCTTTAAATAAAGATTCTTCTAATGTGTATAGTGTTGGCATCTGTCTAATGATTGCACATACTTAGAAATATAACTTCGTAAATACATGTAATGTTTTGTTTGTTGGTTTGGTTCTACGGCGCACCAACACAATTTAGGTTATATGGCCCCGAAACAGAAAAGATGAGTTTGGCTAACGTATCAAAACCCCCTCACTTAGATGCATATAGCCAACAAATTCGAACTTAAAATATCTAGAAAAGGGACTGAAATAATGCAGGGTCGGTCGACGAGGTCTTCCTTCACCACTAAAACTAAGAAGTCGCTATTTAGATATTGTCGGTGTCACTTCAAACCCAAACAAAATATCAGTTCAGTAGACATTTTAAAATATAATAGTTTTGATCATGGTTCAGAATGTCTCAAAAACAAAAACTTGACAAGTGAAGTCCATTGAAGTTAAGGATTGAGTCAATTGTAAAATAATAGCTCTTCCCGTGTATTTCAGATAAAAGGAAGTTATGCTTGACACTATAGTTTAATATGGTGAATATTTAGGCAAACGTTTTTAAAATCTTTTAATGGATGAAAAATTGTGAACCTGACACAAAACAGACTCTAGAACAGATAATATTAAGTTTTGACCACAGAAATGTGACCTTGATCTTGCAGATACGGTTCTGTGTGTTGTCTATAAACGGCTTCTTATTATGGTAAACGTTTGCGCCAACTTACTTGTGTTTCAAAATGCCTTGATTTCTGCAACTTATGGTAAACATTAAATTTTGCGCCAAGTTATTTCAGAATCCCTTTATTAATGAAAAAGTTATGGACGTGACACAAACGATTCCCTCCATCAGACAATTTTGACCTCAAAGTATGACCTTGGCCTGGATATGGGGGTCTGGGTCTTAAGAAGGTCGTCTTATTATAGAAAATATTTTGCCAAGTGACGGACAGACAGACGGGCAGAGCCATTTTCTATACCCCCCTTTTTCCCTCGAAAAGGTAGGGGACAAAATCATATATTATTATGCAGATTAAGGGTGTGATAGAGTACAAATCAATAAGTACTTGTATATAAGCTATTTCTAACTTTAATTCAAATATCCCAGAGAAAATCATATAGATAAAGAAAAATAACAATCAAGTTTCTACAACATATTTTAGGTCTCAAAAAATATGCCCTCTTATTCAAACTAAGTAAACTCCACGGTGACTAAAGATTTCTGTTTCAGACTGCATGCTCAACAATGAACAGGCCTGGATAATGTAAAATTTACTAAGTTCAAAAAGGGTCATAATTCTGTCAAAAGTCATGTTAGAGTAATGAGCTTTGGATACTGACCTCTTACAATGCTCTAAAATAAGTGTGTGAAGTTTCAACCCATTCACTTCATTAGTTTTGGAGATACAACTTGCATGGAAAACTTAACCAGTGTGATTCTGGATGACAGATACTATTCAAATAGTAGAGCTAAAAAATAACAAATGTGCTTTTAATGGCCCTTTTATACCCCAGAAATGCTTATGTATTTTTTTCTCAAAAGTTCTGCTTTTGTTTTCTTCTTTTAGTTTCCCAAAAGTTACTTATTGGCCAAATACTCGAACAATCTTTTGCTTTAGTTGCCTTTTGGTAATTACTACAGTTAAAGTTATTTAGTATTTTGTATGGAAGTCAAAATACTACTTTGTATACATATTGCTACTTTTATGACAAATAATTTCACATTCTGCGCTACTTTCTTCGTGTGATAAGCATCTAGTATGCGGTAAAATCTTTATTTTAACATTATAAATCTCATGTTTTCTCAAGAATTAAGAAGTAATAAAATATTCATTTCTGAGGCATAATGTAACTTATCAGGAATCCTTTGAGCTAAGTCTCGATAGCACTGAATAAAGCCTTTTTTGTAATTATACATCTATTTTCACTTTTCATCTATTTCATTGCTATGACTCAATGTAAATGATAATAAAACAAAAGCATAATAATACATACAAATTGCAAACTACCGTTTAAAATACTGAACAAGAGCTGTTGGTAGGACAGCAACGCTCGACTATTCTTAGTGCTTGATAGTAAAAAAGCCTTGATTAAAAGGTAAAATTTTCTCAGTAAAGAAAAAGGCAAAATTTTTCTTTAAATCCATATTACAGTTATAGGCATTGGGGAGAGTGCTATTATGCTGTCAAAGAAGAGTATAAAATTTCAACATATTTCAAAGCCTTATGAACTTTGAAAATATTTGAGGTATTACAAAAACTTTAACGTAAATTCTAAGTTGAAAAAGGGGGAATAATTCTGTCAAAATGCTTGATAGAGTTACCTCCTCCTGTTAACAGGTTGGGGTCATGATGGTGAACAAGTGTGCAAAGTTTTAAAGCCATATGTAAATGGACTTTGAAAATATTTGAGGTATTACAGAAACTTTAATGTAAATTCTAAGTCGAAAAAGGGGGAATAATTCTGTCAAAATGCTTGATAGAGTTACCTCCTCCTGTCTACAGGTTGGGGTTATGATGGTGAACAAGTGTGCAAAGTTTCAAAGCCATATGTCAATGGACTTTGAAAATATTTGAGGTATTACAGAAACTTTAACGTAAATTCTAAGTTGAAAAAGGTGCATAATTAGGTCAAAATGCTTGATAGAGTGACCTCCTCCTGTCTACAGGTTGGGGTCATGATGGTATACAAGTGTGCAAAGTTTTAAAGCCATATGTCAATGGACTTTGAAAATATTTGAGGTATTACAAAAACTTTAACATAAGTGGTTACGCCGACGCAGACGCCATCGCTCGGGTGACTACAATAGCTCTACTTATTCTTATCGAATAGTCGAGCTAAAAACTGAAGTGCAAAAATATTTGTCCCAAAAACTATATTGCTAGGCAATTCTGCACACCAATTCCATCTAGCAAGACTTTTTGTTGTTTGCTTTTTTATTGCAACAGTCCTAAAATTTGAAAATGCAGAGATCAAAAATTCCACTTGTCCACTCATAATTACGAGTAGAAATTAAGAAAGCTTGATGCAGGACGAGTAGAAAAATGTGCCTGCACAATGGACTTAGAAGCTACTCGTCCTGCAGGACGAGAGACTCTGAAAATATTTTTCGATACCAGAAATGGACTGTTTCAAAATGAAAGAAGAAATGAAGTTCATCCAGGAAATCTGGATAGCTAAGTCACTATGTGTTTACATCATGGGCTTAACTTTTTGCAAAAAGAAAATATGACTTCAGAAAGCCCCTTAATACAATAAGCAACATATATAACATCTGAATCTTACTATGGAATGCAAAATGATGACGTAACTTTCTCAAAACACAACAATATGCAACACTTTAATATTTCACACACATGCATTCTCTGTAATATCATGGATATTGCTTCAAGTTTTCAATTACACAGATATGCTTGAATTTAGTATAACTACAGTCAATATGACTACAGTAACACTTGTAGTGGTGGTAATGTCTACAGTCATCATGTTTTTGCCTTCAGTTACAAAGTCACATTTGAAGTGGAGCTAATGTCTACAGTCATCATGTTTTTGCCTTCAGTTACAAAGTCACATTTGAAGTGGAGCTAATGTCTACAGTCATCATGTTTTTGCCTTCAGTTACAAAGTCACATTTGAAGTGGAGCTAATGTCTACAGTCATCATGTTTTTGCCTTCAGTTACAAAGTCACATTTGAAGTGGAGCTAATGTCTACAGTCATCATGTTTTTGCCTTCAGTTACAAAGTCACATTTGAAGTTGAGCTAATGTCTACAGTCATCATGTTTTTGCCTTCAGTTACAAAGTCACATTTGAAGTGGAGCTAATGTCTACAGTCATCATGTTTTTGCCTTCAGTTACAAAGTCACATTTGAAGTGGAGCTAATGCCTACAGTCATCATGTTTTTGCCTTCAGTTACAAAGTCACATTTGAAGTGGAGCTAATGCCTACAGTCATCATGTTTTTGCCTTCAGTTACAAAGTCACATTTGAAGTGGAGCTAATGTCTACAGTCATCATGTTTTTGCCTTCAGTTACAAAAGTCACATTTGAAGTGGAGCTAATGTCTACAGTCATCATGTTTTTGCCTTCAGTTACAAAGTCACATTTGAAGTGGAGCTAATGTCTACAGTCATCATGTTTTTGCCTTCAGTTACAAAGTCACATTTGAAGTGGAGCTAATGTCTACAGTCATCATGTTTTTGCCTTCAGTTACAAAGTCACATTTGAAGTGGAGCTAATGTCTACAGTCATCATGTTTTTGCCTTCAGTTACAAAGTCACATTTGAAGAAGTTGAGCTAATGTCTACAGTCATCATGTTTTTGCCTTCAGTTACAAAGTCACATTTGAAGTGGAGCTAATGTCTACAGTCATCATGTTTTTGCCTTCAGTTACAAAGTCACATTTGAAGTTGAGCTAATGTCTACAGTCATCATGTTTTTGCCTTCAGTTACAAAGTCACATTTGAAGTGGAACTAATGTCTACGGTCATCATGTTTTTGCCTTCAGTTACACAGTTACACTTGAAGTTGAGCTAATGTCTACAGTCATCATGTTTTTGCCTTCAGTTACAAAGTCACATTTGAAGTGGAACTAATGTCTACAGTCATCATGTTTTTGCCTTCAGTTACACAGGTACACTTGAAGTTGAGCTAATGTCTACAGTCATCATGTTTTTGCCTTCAGTTACACAGTTACACTTGAAGTGGAGCTAATGTCTACAGTCATCATGTTTTTTGCCTTCAGTTACACAGTTACACTTTAAAAGGTAGTAAAAACTGTATCATTATGTTCCTGCCTTCAGTTACACAGTTACACTTTGACTTGTCAGACATTATATTTTCAGCCTTTGAGTGGTGGTAAAAACTACAGTGATTATAGTTTCTGCCTTCCGTCACACTTGAAGTAGATAAAACTGCAGTCATTATGGTTTCAGCTATCAGGTTACACGTTGAGTGTCATTAAATTTTCAGTTTCACATTTACACTTGGAATGGAGGTCATAACTTCAGTTTCTCTGCTTTCTGTCTTCAGTTACACTTAAAGTGGTAGTAATAACTCATTATTAATTACTTTTATTACATGTTAAATGTTTATAAACATTGTTTTGTTTTAGCCTTCAGTTACACTGTGTGGATTTAAAAACTTCATTTACTATATTCAGTTACACAGTTTCACTTGTAGATGAGGAAATAACTGCAGTCAATATTTTCTCAGCTTTCAGATAAGACTTGAGACTGAGGCCATAACTGTAGACATTTATGATTATGTTTTCAGGTAGACAGTCACACTTGTGGGGAAATTTATGTCTGCAATCACACAAATTTTGCTTCAGCTGAATACAAATTCTATAAAATATAAATACTCCGTAATTTATGTAAAGTCTTATATTCTGTTCCAACAGTCCTAAGCTGAAGCGAGAGAATACGCACACAATCGTATGGCGAGTGATTTCAACTTGAAGAGATTACATACACAATGGTATGGTGGCTGATTTCAACTTGAAGAGATTACATACACAACCATATGGCAAGTGTTTATATGCTAAAGTACACTATGTGAAGAATATCAGGTGGCAGGATGCATTGTTAAAAGACTTCCAAACATGAAATGCTGTATCACTGGAAATTTTGCCAGTACCTACAAAAACAAAATTTATTTTAATTAACAAAATGTATGAGAAATAAAGCTGTCTGTAGGACAGCATGCACGACTTTTTTCAGTACTTGCTTGTAAAACAAGAGCCTGCATAATGTAGTATTTTTCTAAGTTCAAAAAATGGCCATAGTTCTGTCAAAATCTATGTTAGGATATTGGACCTTGGATAGAGACATCCTATTGTGCTCTAAAATAAGTGTGTAAAGTTTCAGACCATTTCGTTCAGTATTTTTGGAGATACCAACTTGCATGGAAATTAACTGAAATGTGATTCCAAAGTTTACGCGAGTATAAAAGCTCTCCCTTTTCTTGAAATAGTCAAGCCGAAAATAATCTGTATATAGAAATCAATGATATTTAATGTCTTCTTTCCCTATTTAACAATTTTCAATCAAATTGATTCACCGAAAAGGGGATGATATGAAACATTATTATAACTTGAGAAACTAAAGTCGTACCTCGGCTTTATACATTTTAACAAGTCCTGAGTTAACTTTATCCCAATTAGGCACTCCACTTATATTCCATAACTGATTTGAATGCTCGGCAAAAGGACCCGTTTTTACCTGTAAAAAAAATAGCAACATAGTTAAATTAAAACTAACATATTACCAATTTACTGACATATGAATGAACGAATGTTAATAATTACCACATCTCTCTTAACTAAAGTCTCTCCTAATTAATTATTCTAGGTTTTTTGTTGTTGCATGTTTGTTTTTTAAGGGGGAGGGGGAGGGGGCGGATGCCAGTTGGGAGGGTTGTACAGTATTAAGACAAACACACCTTACATGCAAAAAGACTGCCCCATTTGTTTTTTAAATTAAACTTAACAGGGTTATTACAATGAATATTAACAGAAATTTTCTTGTGCCATTTGAGTTACTTATCTTTCATGCAATGAAAATTATGAAATTGAAAGGAATTATGGCAAAACGTAAACATTTTTTGATTTCCACCTGTTGAATCACTATATATATCTTTGGATGGGCATAATGTCACTTTAACATGAAGAGTTTTGAAATGAAAATGCAAAAATAAAGACATCCTCATCATCCATGATCAGGCTACATATAAAAGTAGGCCTGTCTGGCTGTACAATGATGGCACAGATAAGATGTTATTGCAGCTAGTATTCAAAAGGTTCAAACATAATTTGTAAGCAGCACAATACTTACCTGGTTTATATATTTAATACAGCTTAAAAACATAAAATCTTTAGCAAAAGTTTCATATATATCTGGCTTAACAAAAGACTTCGGATGAATCCTGGGATGTCCTGAAAATAAACAAATCTCACAGATACAAAATACATAGGAAACTAAATTTTATTTGTATATTAAAATGTTTTTTTATGCTGATTTTAACACATTTTTTTATTTTTGGACATATCTTGGCGGTCAGTCCACATAACAGCTTTCCTGGATAAATAACCAGTAATCTGCTTTCCTGGATAATTAACCAGTAATTGACTTTTTCATGATAACTTACCAGTTTGATTGTGTTTCTTTAATTGGGTTTTACGTCACCCAGACACATTACAGGTCATATGGCGACGTTCCAGCTTTACTGGTGGAGGAAGACCTCAGGTGCCCTTCCGTGCATTATTTCAGGCACAAACGGGCACCTGAGTAGAACCACCGACATTCGTAAGCTAGCTGGATAGCTTCCTCACCTGAAAAAATCCAAAGTCCCTGTCGGGATTCGAACCCATAGCGGCGAGGGGCAAGTGGTTTGAAGTCAACGAACTTAACCATTTGGCCACGGACGCTCCATTAACTAACCAGTAATTTTCACTTTTTCAGCAAGTATCTCAACAACTAACTCAATATAATTTCTAAATCAGTGGTAAGGCACATATGACCATTCCACTCAATGTCAATGATCAATTGTCATGGAGAAATTACCCCTTAAAACAATCAACCCCTGATAACAATTTTTTTTTCTAGAAAATTTGTTCACATATGACTGGACTGTATGCACAAGTTTTACCTATGAGTTGAGAAGATCCCCATATAAAAGGTAGAAACTGATGATCGTCTAATGCCCACACACCCTGACTCCCAGCTGGCTCCATTCTGTATGTCTGTTGTAGATTTCTTACTAAATGTAAATACCTGTAATGTAATGTGCATTGTTACTTACATAAAAATTAGTCATAAACAAATATAAACCATACACTTGCTTGATTTCTTAAAATGATTCTTCCAACTTCCATTTTTTGGAACTGTCAACTATCAATTTTGGGGTATCAAGATGAAAATTTGAATTTAGTCAGCCAACAATATAGAGCCTGGTCAGACTAAAAGGATGTACAAGTTGGTCTGGCTTTATACTGGTGTTACTGCAGGTTATGGGTTAACAAATGGTAATTGAAATGTTAGGTTTTTATTTGTTTACAATATTATTTAGTTCGCTTTTTAAATGTAAGAACAAAATTTAACTTCACTATCAGATTTTCAATAAAAGCAATTTCTGAAATATTAAACCATTTAAAGATATATATAAAGCCTTTTGTTTACAAAATTGTTTGAATTCTGCAATAGAATAATTCCAAAATAATTGTACGAAAAGAATATGTTTGTATACTTTGCTACAAAAGAATGGTAAATAGGCATTAAAATTAGCACAATTCTGGTGTAACTACCTATTAAAAACTTTCAAAACCACAGCTTCAGCATCAGATTCTGTCAATACTCCAATCTTATAGAAGCAGAATAAAAATGCTGCAAATGCCATCTCATGACCTGAAAACACAAAATACATGTACACGTTTGTTTTGTTTGTTTGTTTCATTTTACACCTTTTCCCAACAGTATTTCAGTCATATAGGCAGGTAGTTTCCTAACCATCGTTCCTGGAGAGTTACACCAGTACTAGATTACCTTCCTCCGCGCTAAACTACCAAAGCATCTCCCGGAGGCGGTACATGTACACGTACATTGTCAAATACATACATACATTGTAATTACATGTAATTAAATCAGAAAAGTCATCGAGTTGTTTCTCAATCCTGTAGCTATTTCATATGACTACACTGAAATACACTTTATTCTATATTATTAGCCCTCACTATTTTTGGTAATGTTAATTTCCCATAGGCCAATGGGAATTATTCTTACGATTGACTGTGTGAACAATGTGACAAACAAGAGCTGTCGGTAGGACAGCAATGCTCGACTATTCTTAGTGCTTGATAGTAAAAAAAAATGCTTGATACAGTTACCTCCTCCTATTTACAGGTTGGGGTAATGATGGTGAACAAATGTGCAAAGTTTCAAAGCCATATGTCAATGGACTTTGAAAATATTTGAACTGTTACAAAAACTTTAACGTAAATTCTAAGTCGAAAAAGGGGCATAATTCTGTCAAAATGCTTGATACAGTTACCTCCTCCTGTTTACAGGTTTGGGTAATGATGGTGAACAAATGTGCAAAGTTTCAAAGCCATATGTCAATGGACTTTGAAAATATTTGAACTATTACAAAAACTTAAACATAAGTGGTTACGCCAACGCCGACGCTCGAGTGACTACAATAGCTCTACTTATTCTTATCGAATAGTCGAGCTAAAAATTTCACATTAAAAAATCTGAAAAAACAAGCAATTATCATAGTATTGCAAGCAATCCATAAGTCCCCTACCGGTAAGAGCCCAAGCAACATTCTGAAGGGCCATTGGCCATTCACTTATGTTCCTATTTTAAGTAAATTTGTTGAAAAAGTTCTTTAAAAGTGATCACAGGAAACAGTTTTTATGTACAGATAGACAGACTAGAGGACACTCTAAAGTTATTTTTTAAACATCCCTGTTATCAAAATATAACATTTTTAAAATCCTATCATGATTGAAGAAGTTGGAGTAAAAATTACCAATTTCTCAAAAAAAAAGTTCAAAAGGGGCATAATTCTGGAAATAGTCTTGCTAGAGTATTGAACACTCACAATTGTTGAGTGATAATAAGAAACATTTATATGAAGTTTGAAGTAGATACATTCAGAAAAAGAAGTTATTAAAAAAAAAAACCAATTTTTTTTCATGAAAATTTTAAGTTCAAGGGAGGTAATTCTGATAAATTTTGTGCTAGAGTTGTAAACCTTGTCATATATGATGTGGTTGATTACAAGCAACTTATATTTAAAGTTTGAAGAAAAAACCTTAAGAAATAAAGAACTTATAGTGAAAAAACTTAATAACTAGAATCAGAAATCTTGAAATTCAGTCTATTTGTTGCCATAGCAACCAGAATTTTCAACATAGGAAGATAAGAAAAGGATGTGCATAATTTCCATACTGCCATATACCCATATGTCAAGTTTCATAAACATATTTTCAGTACTTTTTTGTGTTATCACTGGATCCAGGTTATGTGTAAAAATTTGCCATATTTTAAGTGTATTTGTTGCCATAATAACCAATTTTTTCAACAAAGGAAGAAAATTGAAAAAAAAATGTGCATATTCTCCAGACTGCCAGCTACCCATATATCAAGTTTCATAAAAATATTTTCAGTACTTTTTGCATCATCATGGGATTCAGTGTTTGTGTTATATTTACCATATTTTAAGTCTATTTGTTGCCATAGCAACCAGAATTTTCAACATAAGAAGAAAAGAAAAAGACGTGCATAATCTCCATACTGCCATCTATCCATATATCAAGTTTCATTAAAATATTTTCAGTACTTTTTGTGTTATCGCGGGATCCAGTTTTGTGGACGGACTGACGGACGGACAGACGGACGGAGGGTAAACCTAAAGTCCCCTCCGGTAAACCGGTAGGGGACTAATAAAGACCTATAGAAACAGTGTAATAATGAAGTACTTGTTAAGGGTAATAAAATAAATAACACATAGGTTTTGTATAAACACTTGATTTTTATTCTTACATCCTATCACCATTAGTATCTTATCACGCAGATACTTGAAGTAAACAAGTCTTGGTGTCCTTCTGGCAGTAGATAAAAAAAGTTATCATTTTAAATCACCTGTGTTTTGTTAAAATATGACCAATTACTGTGAATTTGCTTATTTCGTGGGCATGAAATTTTGTGATTTTGTCACAAAGAACATTTTCATGTCTTGTAAAATTTGTGGGCTGTCTATTTATTCCTAAAGGTATAATGCAAATAATGTGATGCAAGATAATCTTACAGCAAACAAAACAAAATTTTGTTAAATCTTAAAAATAGAGGAATAACCTATCCACAAAACCACGAAAAATTATTTCCCCGCGAAAAATAATGAATTTGGAGTAATCATCAACTAGCATTTAGATCTTACCTGTACCATAATCTATTCTCGTTTGATTGCCGAAAGATTCCACTAGGTACACTGATATTTCTTCACTGCTCTTTTTATACTTGTCTTCTAGCATATCTTCTATTAATTGTTTAGCATTCTGTCAAAAGAAACCATATAATAATATCACAGCTCCTACTGTTAAATAATTTTCTCAAGATCTAAAGCTGCATGCTCCAGATGAGCCAAAATATTTCAAGAAAATCAAATTTGAGAAAAAATGTTCTTCATGTACTTCAGATTTTAAACAAGAGCTGTCACAGGAGACAGCGAAGCTCAACTAATAAAATACTGGATGCAGTAAGGAAGACAAAACTATGAAAAAAAATCAATCATGTATAATTATGTATTAAGTTATGTTATAAAAATAACATTGTTTACATAAATTCCAAGATCAAGGGGAATGATTCTAGAAATAGTCACGCTAGAGTTATGAACCTTGTCACACAACATGTGTGTAATGATAAGGAATATATATTTGAAGTTTGAAGTAGATACCTTAAAAAGTAAAGTTATAATATTTTTTAAAGAAAATCCTAAGTTCAAAGAGAGATAAATCTGTAAATATTGCTTCTAATGTTATAAACATTAACACATAAAATGTAATTGATGATAAGGAATAAGTATTTGAAGTTTGAGGTAGATATCTTTAAAACTAAAAAAAGTTAAAGTAAAAAAGTAACATTTTTAAAGTAAAATAATCTAAGTTTATGGGAAGATATTTCTTGCAATATTGGTGCTAGAGTTATGAACCTTGTCACATAAGATGTGGTTAATGATAAGGTACATATATTGGAAGTATGAAGTTGATCCCTTAAGAAATAAATAAGTAACAGTAAAAAATAATATTTTTTAAGGAAAATTCTAAGTTCAAGGGGAGATAAATCTAATAATATTGGTGCTAGAGATATGAACCTTGTCACATAAGATGGGGATGATGATAAGGTACATATACTTGAAGTATGAAGTTGATACCTTAAGAAATAAAGAAGTAACAGTAAAAAATAGTATTTTTTAAGGAAAATTCTAAGTTCAAGGGGAAATAAATCTGAAAATATTGGTGCTAGAGTTATGAACTTTGTCACATAAGATGTGGTTGATGATAAGGAACATATATTTGAAGTATCAAGTTCATCCCTTAAGTAATAAAGAAGTAACAAAAAATAGTATTTTTTAAGGAAAATTCTAAGTTCAAGGGGAAATAAATCTGAAAATATTGGTGCTAGAGTTATGAACCTTGTCACATAAGATGTGGTTGAAGGTAAGGAACATATATTTGAAGTTTGAAGTTGATACCTTAAGAAATGACAAAGTTATAGTGAAAAATATTTTACTGCACCAAAACTTTAATCTGAAATCTGGACGCGGGGGTGAGTAGGACAGCTCTTCATATACTTCGTACAGTCGAGCTAAAAAAGTACGAGATTCAAGATTCAAACAATGCTTTACAGGCTGTGTGTGATTAGTGACTGATTTTGTTAAGCATCTTTAAAATGTCCAAATCTAAAATAGCAGCTTTATAAAACACAATTAGCTGTTTCTACAAAAATACATAATTTATTTCTGAAGCTTAATGTGCCTCAAACAACAGGAAAATCAAAAACAAGTTTCAAACCTGTTGTAATTTGTTAAACCAGTCCCTAAAAGCTGCATTACCAAATCTCTGTGGTTGATCTATAGGTGGAAACTCCGCTATCCAGCTGTCTAATGTCTCTAGTAGCTTTATCAGTTGTGTTACAGTCTGTAGAAAAAAATGTAATAGACTAAATAATGAATATCTAGACCTTTAAACTTCATTGCTAGCAGGGCTTCCGTTAAAGGAAGTTTGGGAGTTATTCATTCCTTCATTTTGGCTTGTGATGCTTTACCTTCTTTCCAGTGTTAGAGATTTTGCAGTCCCTGACTTCCAAAATTTAAAACTTAATAGAAGCCCAGTGCTAAGAGTGTAAAGATTGTATACCTCATATGGAACCATGCATTTTATTTACATTGTTTGAAAGTATGTAAACATACAAGCAAGTAGAAAATTAACAAAGAATTCATGATATGATGATATATTAGTGATATCTTATACCTGATATAATAATTTATTAGAGATATCTTGTATTGATATGTCTGTGATCTGATATCATAACTATCAGTAATATTTGTTTTCTGATATTCATATTAAAATTAGTATAGTCTATTATATGTAATATGCTGGTGATAGCTATATTACAATACTGATATATATCATCAATATCTCACATGACATTGATAAATCACTGATATTTGTGACTTGATATTGACACAATGACAATATATGTTAGCATATATTGATATATCAGTGGTATTTGTTACATGATACTGATATATTGTGTACCAGTGAATGTGATATATGTTACCTGATATTGACATATCAGTGATATATGATACTGATATATCAGTAATTTATTTTACTGTGTGTTATCTGATATTGTTATATCAGTGATGATATTTTGATTGATGTATCAGTGATATATTTTACTATCTGATATTGATATTATATCAGTAAGTAATAATTCTACTTGATATTGATACAATGGTGAAATATGTAACCAGATATTGATGTAAAAATGATATATATTTACTGATATTGATATATCAGTCATTATCTACATTTGCTTTACCTCATGTACGAATATCAGTGATATTTATTACCTCATATTGATATATATCAGTCATATATGATAATGATATGTATGTTGTATTTTAAGATATAAATACATCTTTGTTATGGCTACATCAGTGATATCAGATATCAACATATTTACCCATATCTGTTACCTAAATATTGATATATCAGTGACTAAGTCTCAGCCAAACAGTTACAGTAACTTACAGGAGACATTGTACTATCTGCTGAGATCTTTTTCCCTTTCACTGCATTATTCATGGCTAGTATGAAACCAACTAGATCCTGGTATGCCTGTGATTTTTCCCATTTTGGTATTATTTCTGGAGGTGGACCAACTTCTTTCTTTGGTATCAGAAATTCATGACTTTCAATATCAAACTGTGTTTCTTCTTCCCGGGGAATGCTTTCTGAAATCAGTAAGATATAAACGTTCATGTAAATGGTGTATTCTGCCCGTCAAGAAGGTTATCAAAATAACCTAGAGTGTTCACACTACAGTACCATGTGCCTGGACAGATATGTACAAGGAATCCGGGTCAGCTCGTCCCTGAAACAAACTCGGCCCCCGAGTCAGCTCGGCCCTATTCCAACTCGGCACGGGTCAATTCGGCCCACTTTTAAAAATGGGTAAAAGACTCCTATTGTTACGGGCTATTATCATCCAATCAATGTGTATGTTAAGGATATACGATTAAGTAGGTGATAATTATGATTGACTCATTCATTCAAATTTGATTATTAACCACCTGCAATTAATTAGACGCTTATGATATTAAACACGTTTTTGTTTCATATTTTTTTTGAAAATTATTTTACAAACAAAATGCATCTAAGGAAACACATTTTTATTATATTGTATATTAATTTTTATCGAAACTGGAAGACAAATAAATAACTTTTTTGTCTAAATATACTTTTATTTCGGCAGAAGTACAATTGTATAATTATATAATAATAATAAGATATTTCTTATCATTCATTTACCTTTAACAACATGCAAAGCAAAGTAAATACGTTATATATATTTTAGTAAAGTGGGCCGAGTTGACCCGTGCCGAGTTGACCCGTGCCCAGTTGGTATAGGGCCGAGTTGACTCTTTTCCTGTACAAGACGTTGATTTAATTCAATAAAAGCTTGGGTATTTTAATTTTTTATTTCTTACCTGATATAAAATCAGGCCCAAAAAAACCCTTCTTTGTTAAGGCCGAATATTGGCTGCTTTCCCAACCAAAGTAGCCTCTTGTTTTCCCCAGTTTGGTCCTCAAAATTCCCCAGTTTTTTGAAATTTTCCATAGAATTTAAAACAAAATCAGAATGATAGTGTTGAATTAAAGTCTTTTGATGCCTTATTAGTATTGCCCTGTGCTGTTTGCTGTTCTATTTTGAAGAACTTGTTCAAGTTTTTGTTTAATTTGAGACCCTTTTTCCCAAAGTATGCCAAAATCAGGCATATTTTCCACATGAAAAAGGCTGAGGCCCCTTCCCCAAAAATGGTGTTTTGGTCCTGACAATATTTCAGCAGCAATAAACACTAAAAGTATACAGTGCAATCTTATTTCAAAAACAAGAAACACACAGGAAATTTATCAGACTATTTATTTCTGCCGGTGTCACATCAATATTAACTTTATTCATGGGTAAGAAAGAAAAAATCTAGTAAAAAAATAATCACCGGTGTTTTCGGCAGCCATGATGATCTGTGGAATTCATGCGCTTGATAGTCTCAAGCGTCCACGCAACTCAGCGCTGGAGCAACAAAGTAGCGGAAAGAGCCATAAATAGGAGTAATGCATTATTCAAAATTATATATAAGTTTATAATACATTGGGACTCTACTGGTTATCTAGCAGTTTCCGGCCACAAATCGCACTTTTTGACAAAAAAATTAAAATCGGTCTAAGAAGGTGTACAAAACTTTGACAGGACAAAGTTAGGTACCTGTCCAGCATTGCCATGTGTTTAATATTGCACTTTCATTTTACTTTTTAATTTGAATATAGGCCTGAAATGTAACGCCCTTTTTCACCTTTATTAAAAAATTCATAGAAGTTTTCCGGACGTTTTTTATTTTGAATATAATTCAGCACCATAAAGCAATATTAAGATGATTTTATCAGACAAACAGAACTTCCCAACATTTTCAGTGTCGTCTGCAAAAATATTTTCTGAAGTATTGATTTACCTAAAGTGGGGTCTTAGTTATTGCACATGGATATTCAAACTAGAATTCCCCAGGTGTTGCTTATTTTTGAATGTTGCAAGTTCTCTTATGCAACTTTTAATAACAGGCAAACATTCAAAACATAAATCGTTGTACTATTTTAAATGTTGTTTAGCATAGAAAACAAATGTTTCTCTGATTGATAAAAAAATGTGGATGCCTTACTGGTAAAAAATAGACTGTACTGGACGAAAATGATAAACAGCCGGAAAACTGCTAAGGGACGGAAACTACTAGGAAACCAGTAAAGCTGCAAACATCAAGTACCAAAATTATCAGTTTCTTGCTTATAATGCAGGTACTTGGTAGGCAAAATGAATTTTGAAATGTAGAAATGTATTTACTGTAAAAAAGAAAAACTCTTAAAATCTATCATCTTTTTAATGCCATAGGTTTTAACTCGGTTTTTTTGTTTTCTTCACTCACATTACCGTAACTCCCAACATGTTAAATTTATAGACATTTTGCTTCCAAATATCTACATCTGAGATAGCCAATAGAAAGTTTAACAATTTTTGTTTGTTTTTATGTTGCATTTGATCATGGAGCTAAACATGTATGTATATCTGTGATTTGATTTCATACTTCGTGGCCGTTATTGTACTATATATGTTAGGATTTTCAAAGTGAATTATTAATGATAGGAACTATATATCAGTTTGTTTCACATTGATAATACAGTTTACATTTGTTACTTAATTCTGGAAAGTCTCAGTTTAATTGAAGAATAATATTTTTTTAAACATAACAATGACTTATTTACTGAAAAATATACTGTACATGGAGTTCACACTTAACAAGATTAATGAACTATCCAGTCAAAGACAATTATTCACTAAATCATTTTAAAACATTCAAATGGTATGATTTATATTTTACGACATTGGCCAACATATGAAAGAAAATATTGATATGTGTATATCCATGTAGTTACATTACATCTGTTGTGTTAATCTCTGTTAACATTTAGGATAGCTGTGTTTCCGTCGTAAAACAGTTACCCTCGAGCTAAATATTTCCGGCCTGTACCGATAGCCTTATAGATCCTTATAGTAAACTTACAAAGCACAGAAAAATGACTCGGTAACAAATTTGATTAAGGTAACTGCGTTTTATACAAATATAAACAACATTAAAACAGTTTAAACTTACAAAAATTAATAATGCAAAAGCGTGTAAAATGAGACAGGACATGAGCCAAGATTATTTTTAAGGTGACACCAATTACATATTGAATACAAATTGAAAATTCATAAACAAAACCCAGGCACTAAGTGACTTTGTTCAGTAAGATCTTTTTAATAAGATATGTTTTAATAACAGATAAGATATATAGACCTATATAATAAAATACAACAAATCCAGTTTCATACAAATCTTCTGATAAGCTATTGATCTATATATTAGACTACCCAACATAAGATCATTTTCTATAATATTGATTAAATATTAGAGTTTTGCGACATTCATTCTGTGATCTTAAATTAGTTTAGCTAAAAATTTAGCTCCTTTTTATGTTTTTATTTATAGTAATTATAACCTACTGTGATTTGACTGTCTGAACTTGTTAATCATTTTTGAAAGTAGAGTAAATATCTATTTAGTTTTAACTAATTCCAGGTACGTATATCAACTATATATACCTGCTAATTCTTAGTCAAATGTTGACGCATCGGTCAAATGTTTCACTTTTGTTAACTTTCTTAAGTTGCCACGGGGAAATAACGTATTTAGTGTCTTGCTGAATAATTTTGAGTATAGTTTTAGATGTATTGATAAATATACTCTTAACTTAATAACTAAAACAAGTCGTGTGCCATTACTTTAAGACAGTATGCTTTTCTCAGTTGTTATTTGGTTTGTCCTCGTCACAACTTTAGCTGTGATATTATACTGATTATTATAACTTATTCATATAAGACGTGAAAAAAATGCATATGCTCACAAAATACAAACATTCAAATAAAAGTAATCATTACATGGATCATTTTCATTATTTTGTAGCAAAGAGCCATCCATAATTAATGTTACCAACAAGGAATTATGTCTGAAGATTATATTGATTTATTTCTATGTGTTTGAATGCTTGTAAGATGATTTTAAAAAAAATCAAATATGAAAACAAAGATAAGCAAGGAAGGGCGTCTTTCAGTGAACGTGTTCCAGACCCAGACACAACCAAATAATGCCGGTGAACGAGCAAGGAACTCTGCAGGACATTAAACAAAAGCAGAAGATGGTAAAACTCTATTGTATTAATCAATAATTGTTGTACATGCTCGAATCTTTATATGCCTTTTTACATGTATCTCGATGTAACTTACAGCAAAACTGTTAAGTTAATAGAATAACTTACGCTGAAATCTAAACTGTAGAAAAATGTAGAAAAATGTGCTAAATTGTGAATTTATGTCTTTGTCGGAATAGTTTTTGCATATAACAACAAAATCATACTGTAATATTACATGCATGTTTGTAAGCGATGGAGGATATTACACTGTTTCATTATCCTACTCAATCAAACCAAGTCTGCAATTTTCATGTAATCTGTAATGATTAATTAACCGATGGATCACTCTTTCTCCAGATTTCATACATCACAATTATTCCAGTAATTCCATCACTTTTAAGTTTTAAAAATTGAGTACCGCTCAAGACGGTGCTAGGGGGCGCAAGTTATATTAACTTTTTCATTTTCCCGCATGTAAGACTAAATCAAACCGATCTGGCAATTTTCATGTAGTCTTGTTATGATTAATGCTTCCGAGGAATCACTCTTTCGTTTTAACAACGCATCTTCTTCATATTAACTTATTTACAGAATTTGTTAAATAATAGTTTTGTTAAATTGCAACATATCTTATGCTAATCGTTGTTTATTGTTTTTTGACCACTTAATACTAATTATATTTTCGTTTACCAACACAAGTTAATGCAGGGTCTTTCTATTTGAAAGTCCCTGGTAAAATGTAAGAGAGGATAATAGAAATCAATGTACAGTCGGCTTTAACATCAATAATGTTTACATGATATAACATACAATTATTTCATCGATATTAATATTGGTGCACGCGTTATCTTATTCCGAGTTACGGTCCGTCCTGTTGTAACAATTTACAAACAAACTAAAAGCATGCTCTATTTCACTAGATAACTCCGTAGCACGAGAATCACGTGCAGTTTCCGAATATTATAAAAATGTTCTGACAACTGAATAGAGAATGATGTCATTTATAGAAAACAAGTGCTTTCTCCTCCATTGATCATTTTCTACACTATTTTTGATATTTATTATTAATCAATAAATTCAGTATTAGACTTACACTCATTTTCAATATCCACTGGTTACGTTAAGCCGTGGTTACATTAAGCAAAATGGAATTGATTTCAAAAATGGTTATGTCTAATAACATCGTATGTCCCAGTACTAATATAGATCTAGTGTGATTTATAAGGCAACAAAAATTTTGGATCAAAGATACAGTGCAGTAGAAAAAAAATGCAAAAATTATTTAAGCTGCAATGAATAAATGCTGCTGTAGGTTTATCTTTGTTTCTCATTACGCATTTTTACGCCGTTTACCGCTTCTTCAAGCGTTTTATCTACACTTCATTATTCATACAATTTTATCAAAATAAGTCAGTGGACTTTGCACCATAATATTTGCTAAACTTATGAATAATTGAATAATTGGTACAGGTTAATTAGTAGTCATGCTCCGTTTTGTGTCACGCACCATTGTAAGTTTATTTCTGGTGATGAAATTTTCAAAGGTTTTAACAATTAGGACGTTCTAATTCATGACCTGTGATTGTGAAGTGAAATAGACATGACTTTCATTTTAATAGATCTATCAGTGAAGTTGAAATGTCAAACACTGAAAATTTGATGTTCTCTTTGGAATGAAAAGTTTTAAGCATATAAAAGGAATACTAGATCTACCTGTGGTAATTTTTTTATACAGAAACTAATAAATTCTCTTAATTAAATAACCTAGCTGATAATAAATTAAATTAATCAGATATTAACAGTTTTAACCAGACAGTTGGGGGTCAGACTCTATCCCCCAGACTTGAACCAATTCTGTAAACGGTCAGAAAAAAACCTTTTAACACAAATGGGGCATGTGTCTTAATCATTAAACTTGTTTTTAAACCATTTCCACAAGAATAAAAAAATTATATTTTCCATCAAGTCTTGATAGACTTTTCGGTAAATGGGATTTTTCTTTGTTTTATGTGCAATGTGACAGCTGTACAATAACTAAAGAACACCTATTTGAGCCTGCCAGTTTGCTTTATTTCATTTAAAATGTCCTATAGTATAAAACCAAGAATTTAATGTGAAAAAAAATCTTGACAAGTAGATAACTCCTATTGATTTTGAGGTCAGTGGGTCAAAGTGGGTCAAAGATCAAGGTCACATGACATGACCATTAAAAGTTTGCCCAGCTATTAAATAGGAAACACAGGTCTACAGTCCTAAGATAAATGTGAAGGCTGGTCATGACAAGTAGAAGACCCTTATTGATTTTAATGTTATTAAATGTTAAGTCAAAGGTCAAGGTCACAGTGACACTTTGTGTAAAGTTTATGTCATATCAATCATAGGAGCCTGAAGTTGGGTCATATGTCAAGGTCACAGTAACACTGTGTCAATTCTTTTGTATGGACATTGCCCATGACCTGTAGGAGACTCCTACTGATTTTAAGGTCATGTGGTCAAGGTCATAGTGAAGCATAACATACTTGTCTAATCAAAAACAAGAGCTTTCTCTTTAATACATGTATGGTTTTTGAAATTTTACTTTTAATTTATAATACTATTATTACATGTAAAATTAATGAATATACTACTTATTAATATAAAACACATAACTTTTATGAAAAGTGATTAAATTTACACTGTAATATAACACTTACAGTTACAATTTATGAAGTATGCACAAGTATGCCAGTGTGAGAGCAAATTAAGTGTGAGCATAAGTTAATCCCACTTACCTTTACCCTTAGTGGTCCTTATTTCTTCTTCCAGGCAAGTATTTATAATAGGCAAGCAGGCTGTCTTTGTTAAAGACATTAAAGCTCTTGTTCAATATCTTTATTTCATAGTTTTGCCTAGTCTTGAAGAACAGTTACCATTTTTAGCTTGACTATTCGAAGAATATGAGAGCTATTGTAGTCGCCCCCGCGTCCGCGTCTGCGTTGGTTAAAGTTTTTTGTAAAGTCAAATATCTCAATCATTACTTGAGATATTCAATTGAAACTTACAATACTTATTTATAGTAACAAGGTACATCAGATTGACAAGTTAGATAACTCTGCCTATAATATTGACAGAATTATGCCCCTTTTTAACTTATTATTTTGGTTAAAGTTTTTTGTCAATTATTGCTTGAGATATTCAATTGAAACTTACAATACTTATTTATAGTAACAAGGTACATCAGATTGACAAGTTGGTTAACTCTGCCTACAATATTAACAGAATTATGCCCCTTTGGAACTTAGAAATTTTGGTTAAAGTTTTTTTTGTAAAGTCAAATATCTCAATTATTGCTTGAGATATTCAAATGAAATTTAAAATACTTTTTTATAGTAACAATGTACATCAGTTTGCAAAATTACATAACTCTGCCTGCAAAATTTGAAGAATTATTTGCCCCTTTGAAACTTAGAAATTTTGGTTAAAGGTCTTCAAAGATATTTACTTGAAACTTTACACATGCACTTAGGGTCATAATTGGAGGGTCATAATTGTATGTCACTGACCAAGTTCCATAACTCTATCTTGCATTAAGGCTGATTCATATCCCCTTTTCTACTTAGTCTCTTGGTTAATGTTTACATGCAAGTTTTACATATCTCAATAACTATTAAAGATATTTATTTAAAACTTCACATTTGCATTAAGGGTCATAATTGTAGGTCACTGACAAAGATCCATAATTCTATCTTGCATTTAGGCTGATTTTTCTCCCCCTTTTTCAACTTAGAAATTCATGGTAAAGTTTTGCTTGTAAGCTGTTATCTCAATTACTACTGAAGGGTTTGTGCCCTTTTTTGGGACAATTTTATGCATTCATAATAAGAAAGCAGTGATTTACTTGATAAAACATCTTAATTAGAAGCCTATGTGCCTTTTCTGTCAAATTTATGTATTCATAGGTAATATTATTATTATACTCAATAAAACAACCTTGTGGCATTACCTTCCGAATGGTCAAGCCAATATTGTATAATTAGACTCTCTCTAAGGCCTATAACATGAATTTATTAAAAAAAAATTAGACCTTTTGTGATCTTAAAAAATTTAACATTATCAAGGCTCTTTTACTATCAAGCACTTAGAATAGTCGAGCGTGCTGTCCTACCGACAGCTCTTGTTAAACTTTATTGGAGCAAATTATTTTGATGCTCTTGTAAAATATAGTCAATTATCACTTACATTTTATTTCAAACACCTCACATGTTGCAGGTTCGTCAAGCTTATTCTACAAATCTTACCAAGATGCCGGCATTACAACCAAAGAAGTTGAAAGGTCGGATGTTCTCGGTGCAGGCTGCATTACCTAAATATCCTGTAGCGCCGCTGGAACAGACACTGAAAAAGTACCTGAAATCTCTAGAACCACTTCTTACTGAGGACGAGTATAGGCATACAGAAAAGGTTAGTTTATCAAGTTTGATTGTATCGGAAGCTATAAGCTTATAGAAACTCTTTTGAATTCGTTCCAGTAACCAAACTGTACTTAGTAATGAATGTGCCAAGTTTCATGCTCAAGGAAACATGACTTGACCCTGATGGGGTTTGAACCCATGCAGCCAGCAGTTCTTGGATTACAAGATTACTTGCACTTGGTTAAGTTTACAGTTCTAGAATTGACTAACTATGCCATTCTGAATTTATCTTGTCTTGATGTGTCATTTTTAGCTTGTATGAGTTCAAGAAAAATGTGAGCTATCATGATCACAGCATAGGCGTCTTTGACATTGTGCAAAAACTTAAATATAGACGATTAATCAAACATTTAAGAAGTTATCAACATGAAACTTTGAATACTTGCTTATCATGACAATGTGCAATTGTAAGACAAGGGGCATAATTCTGAAAGCAATATTTTTGGAGTTAAGCCCCTTTTTTTAACAGTCAAACGTTAAAACCAGATGCCATGCTTGTGATTTCATCATATTAGTGAAAATTTGTAAGTCAATAATTTGAATTGGTTATATTTTGTTTTCTTTTATATAAAGGTATTCACTTTATACATGTACATGTTGATTTTGTTCATTATACTTAGATATATACTGTTACATAAGTTAAAATAATAAATGTGAAAACATCAATTTATTTTTTGATGTTTGATACCCTGTCCACCTTAAATTATAATATACAATTTATAGTACAATTTCAGAAAGTTTAAAATGTCGTAAAAGTTTACAGATGAATAGCTTTTAACACACTATGTTTTGAAATATGGAAAAAATACCTTCATAAATCATATGCATAAATATTATAAGGGACTTTCATCTTACTGTATTTCAGCTTTGCAAAGAGTTTGAAAATGGAGTAGGAAAGACGTTGCAGGCTAAACTGATAGAAAGGGCGGAAAAGCACGATAATTGGGTATAATATATGACTGTCTGTTATTTAACAAGTTGTAAAGATTTTGACATGTTAAATGGCCCTATTTAAATGTTGTTGTTTTTTTTGCATACTAGTATATTATAGCCTTAGCTGCCAGGTTGCAAACAACTTTTTATACATGGCCATATAGCCTGTCAAGAATTTTTATAGCACATGCAGCATACTTGGTTTAATAAAAAAAAATATTTGAAATTACTTGATCAAATGACAGGAGCTGTGTATATAATTTATATAAACGTCACAATTATCTAATAAAAAGTGAAGTTACAAACATGCAGAATTATGATGTATTATAAATACATATTAAGTTCAAATATTTGAAATTTATTAACCCATCCGGACACAAAGTTTTGAGATGAAATAGAAAAATGACATTTGGGTTATTTTTTTGTTTCGAAATGTTAAAAGTTGGCCAAAGGTAAAAAATACAGATTATGTTTTACAGTTATCAGACTGGTGGAAGAGTGTAGCTTACCTGGGATTTAGGGAACCAGTCGTGATCAATTCAAACCCAGGAGTACTATTCCCTAAAGCAGACTTTTCTGGTACCCAGGGACAAATAGAGTGAGTACATATACCAGGGAAAAAAACTGAGATGAAATTTTTCTTTTAAATAAAAATAAAATAAATTTTCAAAAAGTTGTCATTGTGTACTGTGTAGTAACAACTAGAGCTAAGAAACTTAGCTAATCTGATAATTTTACATTTCCAGGTGATATTTGAGTGACATTGTAGTTTTTCTCATATGTCTAACACGTGTTTGACACAATAGAACCAAATGTAGAAAGACTAAAATGCATGGAAAAATGCAAAGATTTATTGTTTCTCCATTTATCCTGCTACTGTCTACATTAGTATATTATATAGCCTTTCTAGATAAACTTATCTCTATCTCCAGTCATTACATCACATGGTTAGCCTATGATGACATCACATGGTTAGCAGCAAAGCAGAATTACATATAGATGCTGTTTACTGGGGAAAAAATATGGATGGAACCATTTAAATAATCTAAAAACATTATTAAAGTAGACTATAGCAGGATAAATCGATGGTTATTGTTGTTGGAAAGGACAGTTGACTATGAAATTGTATCTTGGCTTGCTAAAGCTCGCCAAGATACACTTTCTCACTTACCGGAAACCGCTTGCCCCTCACCGCTGTGGGTTCGAATCCTGACAGGGACTTTGGATTCTTTCATGTGAGGAAGCTATTCAGCTATAGCTTACGGAACGTCAGTGGTTCTACACAGGTGCCTGTTTAGTTTTTCTATTATCTCCAAAAGTCTGTAGCACATTACAACATGAGAGTTATTATAAATGTTGTACTGATATAAATAATGGTGATATTTCAGGTATGCTTCCAAACTGATTGCTGGTCTCCTTGACTACAAGGTCATGATAGATGAGTAAGTCATTTTAATTAAATTATCATTGTAATAGTAAAATACTGGTAGTAAGTTAACTTTCAGCAATAAACTATGCATTAACTTTTTCTTACAAGGTGAATTATTGAAAATATTAATGTAGGTAACATGAATTGAAAATTAGTATTACAATAACTGTAAATAAAGGGACTCCACTGAGTTTTTTTTCACGTGACAGGACTGGAAATAATTTTAAATTAAAGTTCCATTTGAAGTAGATGTAGACTAATTGTATACAAAATGGACTGTTCTGTATTTAAACCAGGACAAGTCAACTTTGCAAATTTAGGGGTGTTATCTTTTTACACATACATTTTATTACAGTCAGACGTTACCAGTGGAGCATCTTGGGAAGAACCCACTATGCATGATGCAGTACTTCCAGGTGCTGGCAGCATGTAGGATACCCCTGGAGAAACATGATGACTGGGCGTGCTACCCTCCTGACCGTCCAGGAGCACCGAAACACATCACTGTCATCTATAACAATAATGTATTTTAGTTAAACTTGATCTTTGTGTGAAACTAATCGGCTTTATTTAGATTCTTGAAAAAAATGTGGAAAAGTAGTGGTTCTTGGGTGGCATTTTGCATTTTAAACAATGTGTGTTAATTATACATACATATACACATATAATAAGTTTATAAAACTAGATTTTGTAATATGAAATGTATACATGTATATATGTAAAAGGTTAAAAATTGGGAACAGGTGTGTTTTTTGTGTTTTTGATCTTTCATAAGAAATTTTTGGAAGATCAAATAAACTTGGTCAATCCAAAACCACTGAAGGGAATTTGTTGAAACACACTTATTTTAGAACATAATATGAGGTCTCTATCTAAGAATCATAACTCTAACATAGATTTTATAGATTTTGAACTTACAATATTCTACATTATACAGGCTCTTGTTTTACGATCAAGGACTGAGAATAGTCAAGTCCCTGTCTTACCCACAGCTCCTGTTTTACTGTATAACAATCTGAGGTATATATCATTATATTGTTGTTGTTTTTTTTACAGATATTTGAGGTGCCTGTGTATGGTGATGATGGGAATCCACTTACAATATCTCAGGTTAGGAACCAGCTGTTAGAGGTTGTGAATCAAGGGTCAACACCAGGGGAACCAATAGGGCTGTTTACTATGGAACACAGGGATAACTGGTCCAGTGTTTATAAGAAAATGATCCAAGGTAAAAGAGATATACAGTTTGTTTCATCCTAGATTAATGAGAGTAAGCGCACGCATACAAACTTTTCTATTACTGTAACCTGGGACATATCAGGACAAGGACCTACTGATTAGATAAGTGGTCATATAAAGGGAATCAGCATTACCTTGCATTTTTATCTCGACTATTCGAAGAACATGAGAGCTATTGTAGTCGCCCCGGCGTCGGCGTCTGCGTTGGTTAAAGTTTTTTGTAAAGTCAAATATCTCAATTATTGCTTGAGATATTCAATTGAAACTTACAATTCTTATTTATAGTAACAAGGTACATCCGATTGACAAGTTGGATAACTCTGCCTACAATTTTGACAGAATTATGCCCCTTTTTAACTTAGAAATTTTGGTTAAAGTTTTTTTAAAGTCAAATATCTTAATTATTGTTTGAGATATTCAATTGAAACTTACAATACTTATTTATAGTAACAAGGTACATCAGATTGACAAGTTGGATAACTCTGCCTACAATATTGACAGAATTATGCCCCTTTTTAACTTAGAAATTTTGGTTAAAGTTTTTTGTAAAGTCAAATATCTTAATTATTGCTTGAGATATTCAATTGAAACTTACAATACTTATTTATAGTAACAAGGTACATCAGATTGACAAGTTGGATGACTCTGCCTACAATATTGAAAGAATTATGCCCCTTTGGAACTTAGAAATTTTGGTTAAAGTTTTTTTGTAAAGTCAAATATCTCAATTATTGCTTGAGATATTCAATTGAAATTTAAAATACTTTTTTATAGTAACAATGTACATCAGTTTGCAAAATTGCATAACTCTGCCTGCAATATTTGCAGAATTATTTGCCCCTTTGAAACTTAGAAATTTTGGTTAAAGGTTACAGGTCTTCAAAAATATTTACTTGAAACTTTACACATGCATTTAGGGTCATAATTGGAGGGTCATAATTGTATGTCACTGACCAAGTTCCATAACTCTATCTTGCATTAAGGCTGATTCATATCCCCTTTACTACTTAGTCTCTTGGTTAATGTTTACATGCAAGTTTTACATATCTCAATAACTATTAAAGATATTTATTTAAAATTTCACATATGCATTTAGGGCCATAATTGTAGGTCACTGACAAAGATCCATTATTCTATCATGCATTTAGGCTGATTTTTCTCCCCTTTTGCAACTTAGAAATTCATGGTAAAGTTTTGCTTGTAAGCTGTTATCTCAATAACTACTGAAGAGTTTGTGCCTTTTTTGGAACAATTTTATGCATTCATAATAATAAAGCAGTGATATACTTGATAAAACATCTTAATAACAAGCCTATGTACCTTTTCTGTCAAATTTATGAATTCATAGGTAATTAGTATTATTATACTCAATAAAACACCCTTGTGACATTACCTTCCGAATAGTCAAGCCAGTAATGTGTAATTAGACTCTTTCTAAGGCCTATTACATGAATTTATAAAAAAAAATTAGCCCTTTTGGGAACTTAAAAAATTTAACATTATCAAGGCTCTTTTACTATCAAGCACTTAGAATAGTCGAGTGTGCTGTCCTACTGACAGCTCTTGTTTTTCGTGTGGTTTGGTCTATGTTATAGAAAAGCTTTTTTTTCCCTTTTCATGTCAGACAGCTTATTTTTTGTTTTAAATTAAAGGCACATTATGCCTCAGAAATGAATACTTTTTTACTTCTTTAGAAAGTGCAAGCATTAGTTATATTTCATTTAGATAATCTGGATTTAGAGCATGTTAGATGCTTGTTATCTGGAAAAAGTAGGGCCAAATGTGAAAATACTTGTCATAAAAGTAGCAAATGTAAACAAAGTAGTATTTTGACTTCTTTTTGGAAACTATAAAGTTCACCAAAAAAATAAAAAGCTTTTGGGAAATATCATTTCTTGGGCATAATGGGCCTTTAAAGAAATTGTATTACAAAATGCATGGCATAATAAATATATGTAGCTAATACACACAGAGTTGGATCTCTTTTTATTATGCTCCGGCCATATAATAGCTGGGGCATATAGTGTTACCCTGTTCAATCCATCATTCTATAATTCCGTCATCATCAGTTTTCATTCATTATCTTAGTAACGGTGAACACATTCAACTCAAATTTGGCACATGGATATGTCATGAGAAAATACAGGTCAAGTTCAAATTTGGTCATGGTTCATTGATTTTTGGCAGAGTTATGTCCCTTTTACTATGAAAATAATATGAAATTTTCAGTTTTCGTTCATTATCTCTCCAACAGTATTATACATTCAACTAAAACTTTAGATATGGATATGTCATGAGAAAATACAAGTCATGCTTGAATTTGGTCATGGTTCGACGATTTTTGGCAGAGTTATGCCCCTTTTACTTTGAAAATAATATGAAATTTTCAGTTTCTATTCATTATCTTCCGAACGGTATTACACATTCAACTCAAACTTGACATATGCATATGTCAAAGGAATGCGCAGGTCAAGTTTGAATTTGGTCATGGTTTAATGATTTTTGGCAGAGTTATTTCCTTTTCACTTTGAAAATAATATGAAATTTTAAGTTTCCTATATTATCTCCCCAACAATATTACACATTCAACTCAAATTTGACAACTGGATACTCTAAAGAAATGTGCAGGCCAAGTTCTAATTTGGTCATGGTTCAATTATTTTTTGCAGAGTGATGCCCCTTTCACTTTGAAAATAATATGAAATTTTCAGTTTCTGTTCATTATCTCCCCAACAGAACTCAAATTTGACATATGGATATGTCAAAGAAATGCGCATGTCAAGTTCGAATTTGGTAATGGTTCGATGATTTTTGGCAGAGTTATGTCCCTTTCACTATGAAAATAATATGAAATTTTCAGTTTCCGTTCATTATCTCCTCTAGGGTATTACAAATTCAATTCAAATTTGACATATGGGTACATCAAAGAAATACGCAGGTCAAGTTCAAATTTTGTCATGGTCTGATGATTTTTGGCAGAGTTATGCCCCTTTATCTTTGAAAAAAAGGAAATTTTCAGTTTCCATTCATTATCTCCCCAACAGTTGTACATATTCAACTCAAATTAAAGATATGGATATTTCATAAGAATGCATTGGTCAATTTCCAATTTGATCATGGTTTGATGATAGCTGACAGAGTTATCCCTCTTGAACTTGGAAAAAAAATCAGAAATTTTTAGTTTCAGTTCAATATCTTCCCAAAGGTTGTACACCGTAATTCAACTCAAGTTTGATAGATAGATACATCTTAGGAATAAACAGTTTAAGTTTGAATTGGTCGTGGTTCAATGATTTTGGACAAAGTTATCTCCCTTGAATGTTGGAAAAAAATTGAATTTTCAGTTTCAGCACTCATACTTTTGTGAAATATATGTAGCCATTAATTTGGCTAGAAATATGCAATATGCAATTTACATAAGGTTAAAACTAAATAGTTTCAGTGCCTTGAACTTTGTTTAAATAGGGTTTGTGTTAACATTGAATAGTTTTAAGGGCTTTGAACTTTAAATGAAAAAAATAATTTGTGCAAACAAATTTGGAACTAAATATTATAACATCTGAAATTTTGGCTGCATGCGGGGGCATCCATCAGGCGGGACGACACATTTCTAGTCCTTAACATATATTTGTCACTGTTTTCTATGAGGAATTCAAAAGAATACTGACTGAGTAAGATATTTATTGTTTTGTAATTAATATAATAGATAAATAAATGATACTATTTTATTGACAGATAAAACAAATAAAGCCTCGTTTGACTCAGTCCAGCGCAGTATCATAGTTTTATGCCTGGACCAGTCAAACGATTTTGGGAATGATCCACGCACTGTTAGTGGACATCAAATGCTACATGGTGGAGGACCCTCCTTGCATTCTGGCAACAGGTGGTTTGATAAAACAATACAGGTATGAAAAGTTTTTAACTCGCAGAATTTCAAGACGTCCCTAAATCTTGTTAAACCTTTTTTTTTCAAGTCGGTATTTGGTTTCGTTGGAATCTCTTTGTAAGATATGCTGAAATTTTGATTGAAAATTGGTTACATCACCTAATAGTTGAATATATATTATTGTTGAAGTATAAATGTAAGTATATATTGTATAACTATGTATATAATAAAAGGGCCTTTTATAGTATATATTTGTCTTGATCTTGGACATGAATTTGGCTGTGGAGGTAGTGCTAGGCCGCAAGGCCCTTGGAGCATTCAACTCAATGTGCCCTACTTAGTAAGTAACACTGGTTAACTCCTATTAAATTGAGAAGGACTTAACCCATTGTTGCACTATGGTGACGACATGTCTTTGATCAAGGAGCTTCTATTATCAGGGTATTCATAATTAACAGATCAGCAATTCATATCATCAGTTGAGATGCTGTTATAATTGATTGTATTTTCAGCCTGTAGATTAAAATATCCCCCTTGACCTTTGGCCAAATTGGCTGCTTTTGTTGACACATCTGTTGCCTAAGATAAAACCTTGATTATAACCTTAAAGCTTTATTTAATGTATTTGTTTTTTATGGAGTATTAAATTTTGAGCATATTTTAACATAAACCAATGTTTTATTATGCTCCCCGAAAAAATTTCGGGGGAGCATATAGTCGCCGCCTTGTCCGTCCGTCCGTCCGGCCGTCCGTCCGTCTTTCCGTCCGTCCGTCCGTCCGTCCGTCCGTCCGTCCGTCCCCTTTTCTTGTCCGGGACATAACTTTGAAACAACAAGAGGTATCAACATGAAACTTTGTAGGTAGATAGATCTCATTAAGTAGGTGTGCAGTGCACAAGAACCGTAACTCTGCCTTGCCTAATTTTTGAATTATTCCCCTTTGTTTATTTTTACACTTTGAACTTTGTCCGGGACATAACTCTAAAAGTATAAGAGGTATCAACATGAAACTTTGTAGGTAGATAGATCTCATTGAGTAGAAGTGCAGTGCACAAGAACCGTAACTCTGCCTTGCCTAATTTTTGAATTATTGCCCTTTGTTTAATTTTACAATTTGAACTTTGCCCGGGACATAATTCTAAAAGAAACTATGAGATATCAACATGAAACTTTGCAGCTACATAGATCTCATTGAGTAGAAGTGCAGTGCTAAAGAACCATAACTCTGCCTTGCCTAATTTTTGAATTACCCCCCTTTGTTTATTTTACACTTTGAAATTTGTCCGGGACATAACTCTAAAAGTATAAGAGGTATTAACATGAAACTTTGTAGGTAGATAGATCTCATTGAGTAGAAGTGCAGTGCACAAGAACTGTAACTCTGCCTTGCCTAATTTTTTAATTATCCCCCTTTGTTTATTTTACACTTTGAACTTTGTCCGGGACATAACTCTAAAAGTATAAGAGATATCAACATGAAACTTTGTAGGTAGATAGATCTCATTGAGTAGGTGTGCAGTGCACAAGAACCGTAACTCTGCCTTGCCTAATTTTTGAATTATCCCCCTTTGTTTATTTTACACTTTGAAATTTGTCCGAGACATAACTCTAAAAGTATAAGAGGTATCAACATGAAACTTTGTAGGTAGATAGATCTCATTGAGTAGGTGTGCAGTGCACAAGAACCGTAACTCTGCCTTGTCTAATTTTTGAATTATCCCCCTTTGTTTATTTTACACTTTGAACTTTGTCCGGGGACATAACTCTAAAAAGTATAAGAGGTATCAACATGAAACTTTGTAGGTAGATAGATCTCATTGAGTAGGTGTGCAGTGAACAAGACCCTTAACTCTGCCTTGCCTAATTTTTGAATTATCCCCCTTTGTTTATTTTTACACTTTGAACTTTGTCCGGGACATTATTTCTTAATGTATAAGAGATATCAACATGAAACTTTGTAGGTAGATAGATCTCATTGAGTAAGTTTGCAGTGCACAAGAACTGTAACACTGTCTTGCCTACTTTTGGAGTTATTGCCCTTTGTTCATTTTGACACTTTGAACTTTGTCTGGGACATTACTCTAAAATTATAAGAGATATTAACATGAAACTTTGTAGATAGATAGGTCTCATTGGGTGGAAGTGCAGTGCTTAAGAATCATTACTCTGCCTTGCCTTATTTTGAAGTAATTGCCCTTTGTTTATTTTTACTTTTTGACTTTTGTCCTGGACATTACTTTAAAACTATTAGAGATATCAACATGAAACTTTGTAGGTAGCTAGATGTAATTGGATAGAACTGCAACGCTTCAAGAACCTAAACAAAGCCTGGTCTAATTTTGGAGTTATTGCCCTTTGTTCATTTTTTTATACTTTCCTGTGTCCAGAACCTTCTCGGGGAGCATCACCCGGTTCAACCGGTTCTTGTTTTCAGTTTATAGTAGGAGCTGATGGTTACAGTGGGTTGAATTATGAACACACCACAGCAGAGGGACCACCAATCATACATGTTATGGACCATTGTTTAAACTTTTTGTAAGCATCTTTTATTATGGACCATTGTTTAAACTTTTTGTAAGCATCTTTAACCTTTAGTCTGCTTTAACCTTTACCCATATGACCAATTTTCCCATAGGACCAATTTACCAATAGGACCAATTTACCCATAGGACCAATTTACCCATAGGACCAATTTACCCATAGGACCCATTTACCCATAGGACCAATTTACCCATAGGACCCATTTACCCATAGGACCAATTTACCCATAGGACCAATTTACCCATAGGACCAATTTACCCAAAGGACCAATTTACCCAAAGGACCAATTCACCCATAGGACCAATTTACCCATAGGACCAATTTACCCATAGGACCAATTTACCCATAGGACCAATTTACCCAAAGGACCAATTTACCCAAAGGACCAATTCACCTATAGGACCAGTGCAGACCAAGATCAGGTGGCATATCATAGTCTGCACTGCTTGCTTTTCAGTCAATACTTATTTTGAAATTTTCTCGAAAAATGAGAAGTTGTTTTGTCATTTAAATTTAACAAGAACTTATTATGTAAAGGTTGTTAAACTCATGTTTTGCCCTCCCTAAAGAAGTTTCTGAGGCATAATGTGCCTTTAAAATACATTGCACTAAACAATTAAACATTGTAAATCAGTAGTTGTTAGAGAAAAAAGATATTGCATGATTTGTAAGTTAATTGTTGCTCATTTTTACAGGGCTAATGGTAAAGAATGGAGCCCGGCATCTGATGTAAAACCACCTACAAAATTACAGTTTAATCTCACAAATGATGTTAGTAAAAGTCTTACACTAGCCAAGGAAAACTCAGCCAGGTATCAGGCCTTTACACAGTATAGTCTAGTTACTTGTAGTGCATAGTAACAATTTTACAATACTTGTATGCATATTGTCAACTAAGCTTGAAATTGGAGGAAGACCTAGTTGTTAATTTGTCTGACCCTCATTCTAGGGATGTGGTGGAATGGCCTAGTGGTTGACACTTCAGACTTGTAATCTATGGATTTCTGGTTGCATGGATTCAACCCCCAAAAGGAGCAAGCCATTGTTTCTGTGAACAAGAAACTTTACACTCTTTGCTTCATACTGGTTGGTTCCAGGAATGGATTCAAAGTGTTTCAATAAGCTTATAGCTTTCTACACATTCGAACAAAAACAAAATTGTATAAACTAATCTAGGGTTGATGGCTCGAGTCCTATTTGCGTCACAAATATGTTTTCTCTTTTATAAAAAGTACTGGTTAGTTCTAGGAAGTGGACTGGAAAGTGTTCAAGTTGTAACAAGTTATAATAAATTGTTTGTGTCCAAACATTATCTCTATTTAAAATAATCTTGATTGTGAGGTGATCTAATTTAAACTAAGAATCAAATTTAGATTTTAATGCCCTTGAAATTCTTTCTGTTCTCTTTATATAAAATATGTTATTTTATTAACAAAAATATATATAATTAAAATGTAAGCTGAAAGATAATAATACCAAGCACAAGAGCTGTCTGTAAGACAGGATGCTCAACTATTCTCAGTATATGACAGTAAGAAAAGGGGCAGAACTCTATAAATAGGTAACTCAGAGTTATAGAACCTGTGCGCATCATGTTAAATAATCACAGAGAGTAAGTGTGTGAAGTTTTAAGCCATTCCCTTCAGTAGTTTTAGAGATACCAACTTGCACAAAATGTGACTACAAGGCTGACACTGGGGCAAGTACAATTATACGTCTTCCTATTCTTTGAATAGTCAAGCTAAATATTGAAGTTAAGTAAACTATATACAGTTTATTCAAATTTATTAACTTGTGTAATAATAATAAACCTTTCATTCATGTATTGTTTTATGTAGGATGGTTAATGACCTTGACCTGAAAGTCTTTGTGTTTGATGAGTTTGGTAAGAATTTCCCCAAGTCACAGAAAGTCAGCCCTGACAGTTTTATACAAAATGCAATACAGCTCGCATATTATAGGTAAGAATTTTTCGTTAACATTTGTTTGAATGAAAAATAAATATCTAGAAAGTGTCTTTCTTAAGGTTTTAGTTTTGTTACCTGGTATATAGTACTTGTTTGATTAACCAAAGTTTGATAAAACTATAAAACTTCGATCTTTGGAACCTTCATTTGAGCCGTATCACGACAAAACCAACATAATGGGTTTGCGACCAGCATGGATTCAGACTAGCCTGCCCATCCGCGCAGTCTGATCAGGATCCATGCTGTTCGCTATCAGTTTCTCTACTTGTTATAGGGTTTGTAAGCGAACAGCATGGATCCTGATCAGACTGCGCGGATGCGCAGGCTGGTCTGGATCCATGCTGGTCGCAAACCCATTATGTTGGTTTTGTCATGACACGGCTCATTTATTGACTTTTAAAAGTGATGAACATTGAGAGATGTAGATTTGATCTAACTGATAGAATTTAATATTGCAATAAATAGTGTCAAATACAGACCTAAAGGGGCTGGTGGCCTAGTGGTTAAGGTGTCTGCCTGTCAACCCAGGGATCATGGCTTCAAGCCCTAATCAGGTAACGGCCATGTTTCTTCATATGACACCAGTACTAGTTGGTTCCAGGAAGCAGACTCGAAAGTGATTAATATAAGTTGCAAGAACTTGTTTCGCAATCAAGCTTAAATATATATGTTTAAACCAAGTCCTGTATTAATTCATAAGTGTAATTCTGTTGTTTTTTTCAGTGTTCCTATGTACTCATATAATTATGTCAGTAAATTGTCAAATGGGATGTTTGTATTTCACCCACCTCCCTTATCTTTATAACCCTCGGGTTTGAATAGTTTTACTGTATACCTCTTACTGTTGGGGTAAGAAATACAAGAAAAAACACTCAAGTTTTACCCCGTTTCAAATAACAGTGTAAACATATATTTCAGGCACCACAGAAAGACGTGTGGATCTTACGAGTCTGCCTCGATAAGAATGTTCCAGCAAGGACGGACCGAAACTATCCGGTCTTGTTCAACAGAATCGTTTGAGTTTACTAAAGCAATGATGGACAGTAATACAAGTAAACAGAAGAAGGCGGAGCTACTGAGACGTGCAATTAATAGTCATAAACAATATACCAATGACGTGAGTAGCCTGCAGTTGCAAATCTGTTTTAAGCCACACCCCTTTGTGTTAAGTAGACAGATTTGGAACGGATGAGCTGTTAGGGGTAAAAAATGGGGGACATGGATGAGCTAAGGAGTAAAAAGTAGAGGGAATGGATAACCTGTAAGGGATAAAAAGTGGTTGAAATTGTACAAGCTGTATGGGGTAAAAGTGGGGGAAATAGGTAATCTGTTAAGGGTTAAAACTTGGGATGAATGGATAACCTGTAGGTTGTAAAAAGTGGGGGAGAAATGGATAAATAGTAAGGGGTAAAAATTGGGGGGAAATGAATAATCTGTAAGGAGTAAAAATTGGAAGGGGTGTTGTAAGGAGTAAAATGTGGTGAAAATTGGATAAGCTGTCGAGGGAAATGAATAAGCTGTATGGTGTTCAAAGTTGGGGAAATTGGATAATCTGTGACAAGTAATAGGTGGGGAAATGAATGAGCTGTAAAGGGGTAAAAAGTGAGGGTAAATTTTTATGATAATCTATTGTTTTATTTACAGGCAATCTCAGGGAAAGGTATAGACAGACATTTGTTAGGACTAAGGTTAACTGCTTTAGAAAACAACATGGAGATGCCAGAACTGTTTAAAGATAAAGCATACACTTTCAGTGGTTCATGGAGAATTTCAACTAGTCAGGTAAACAATTGTAATATTTGATTGGAACTTAAGAAAATAAAAAGTTTTTTAGTTCAGAAAAAAGGCAATATATTTAAATTTTGAGTTTAGCAACCTGTGTTAATGGCTTATGGTAAACCATGGTAATATTTAAAGACGTTTTCGGTAGTTTTCTGTTTGCATCGTTATGCGCTTCCAAGAAAGATAATCACGGATAATTACTCTTCAAATGAAGGTCAAGTTGAATAGTATTCGGATAAGTGTTTAAATTTCGGCTATAAGCAAATAATGAGTAAATAATACAGAATAGATATTTCTAAATGTTCAAAAGGAGACCGGTTCAAAAGAATAAGAAGTCGTTTAGACAACATCACAAAAAGGATTTCTCCAAGCATTAGTACGACAGCATTGATGATAATTCTGCGCGCGTTACCCCACCCACTTGTGGCATAGTGACGAAAGTGCGTGGCAGCGTCGCGACTTGATTACTGGCAGACATGTGGGCAAAGAAGTTTAAAATGATATTTTAAAAGTGTTGAATAAAAAAACAAAATTAATATCTAAGAAATGTTCCGAATTTCATTATTTTCTTTGTAAATTTATGAATACTTGCTTACTGTTCGGGTATGTTAGTCGAGTGAAAAAAATAATATGGCCCTAGATATGTTTTAAAAAGATATTCAGTATCATTTACTTAATATAACATCAAAAGAAAAAGAAAAAGAAATTTTTATTACATGTTTTTGTTGTATATTTGACAATACATTTAGTATAACACTGATATTTCTTAAGAAAGCGTGGTAATTTTGACAGTTGGCATATGCGGTAACCATGGAAACAGCCCATTTACAAAAAACAAACACGTCAACATACAAATGTATATATTTTATTTCTATTTTTGAATCCACCATCAAATGTTACTTGAGATATCAAAAATGTAGAAAATTCTATGAAAGAAATTTCTTGATAGCTTTAATGTTTTACAGAATTCATGTTTATTTTTCTCATTTTTTGTTTAGTTAAAAAGCATGAAAACTTATTTTTTAAAGAAATATGTTCCAATTATCGTTTGTTTTATACAGAACCCTAAGATAAAGCAAGCTTTGTATAAAATTATGTTTATTGTGAGTGTAATAAGCTATTTTATACATTATTATAACACAGTTTGGCTATTTTGACAATTTTGAGATATACGGTTACTATGGAAACTGCCATTTTTCAAAAAATCCAACACGCCAACATATATTTTTCTTTTTCTTTTTGAATTTGTCATTAAATTTTACACAACATATAAAAAAATTAGAAAATCCTATGAAACACTTTTTTCAATATCTCTAATTTTTCTCAGAATTCATGTTTATTTTTCTCATTTTTTGTTCGGTTGAGGAACATGGAAAACTCATTTTTTAAAGAAATATGTTCAGATTATCATTTGTTTCATACAAAATCATTAGATAAGATTATCTTTGCATAAAACAATGCTCGTTGTGTGTTTTAAGCTATCTTATACATTTTCTATTCGTTATAACACAGTTAGGCTATTTTGACAGTTTTTAGATAAACGGTTACCATGGAAACTGCCATTTTACAAGAAATCCAACGCGTCAACATATATTTTTCTTTTTATTTTTAAATTCGTCATTAAATTTTACTCATCATACAAAAAATTTTGAAAATTCTATGAAAGGATTAATTTTTCATAAAACTGTAGAAAATGTCTTTAATTGGAACAGAAGAAAATAAACAAAAAGTTTTTGTTTTTTTTTCATTTTTAGAAAAGAGACAATGTATTTTAATTTTGAGAAAATGAACAATCTGTGTCTATGTTTTATGTAAGAAAATTAAAAGATGATTAGATTAAGGAATAATAATAATAAATCAGTTTTTAAAAGTTAACAAGATAGTTTTTTTTAAAAAGAATTGAATCACTTGCTCACCAATCGTTACACCCCAGTCATTTTTTTGTCTGTTAACTTCTTATACATTGGGTGTGTTGTAAGTTGTAAACTGCCTTTATTCTTGTTTTTTGATGTGTTTAAAACTATAGTTGTTAAAACCAGGCGTCAATTTTCTAGGTACCAGCCAAATCTGAGTCGGTGTTATTTTTCGGTCCAGTTATGCCGGACGGTTATGGATTCTGCTACAAACCCTCAGGAGAAGTGTATTCTATTTGGAAGTGTCCTCTTCAAAGAGTAAACAATGTAACATTGCCCTGCCAAGATGGCGGATCTAATTAAAGACAGTCTTAATCGATATGCGACGATGTCATGGCGTCTACTATGAAAGCTAATCTGTGATATTTGCTGAACATTTCTAATGTAAACAGTTAAAAAAAATGATTTTGTGTTAGCAATGTTTTTTTTGTAGTTCAAAAACAATGCCATACTTTTTTTACTGCTTTTTTTGTGGTAAATCTTGTGCTGCTTTTTTTCATATTTTTTTTTCTGAAAAACTATTTTGAATATTTTGTATGGTGTATGTGTATTTCAAGGTGTGAGCAGTAAGAAAAAGAAACAATCAAGTTTTTACTCTTCTTGTTGGATGGGTAAACTAACTATTCTGGATTGAGCCCCATGTGTAGCGTGTTACAAAAATACTACTAAATTACTTTTGACACCATAAAAACTCTTTACACCATGTCCTTTTGTTTTAGATATATTTTTCATAAGAAAAAAACATTCTCAGCTGATAATGGACAGTTTGAAATGAGTTAACATTGCTATTTACGCAGCTTATTATTCAGCTTGACATTTTTTTTTATTTTTCCCATATAACATAGTGCATTTTATCAAGAACTTATATATACATATTCGTATGTATAATCAATTAACCATAATTTCATGTATTTTATGATTTATAAGACAATAATGGTTTGAGAGGCCAGCAATTATAGCTTGATAGGCCAATTGTAATGGTTGCAACTCTTACCTTATATAAATATAGTCATTTGTCCATACAAGACTTGCTTAAAGGACATTTAGAAACATGTTACATGAATATGAATCATAATTGTACATTGTATATATGCCTTTCTCCAGAGTTTCAGACCACTGCATCAACTAGAGGATTTAGTGATTGAATCCACACAATGAAAAGTCAGTGGATTATGCATTAGATATTACACACCTTGAAGCCAGTAACTCAATTTTCATTGCTTTACTACTTAAAATGGTTGTGATTTTGTTCAAATATTTTTATAATAGAATCTATATAAACAAATTTACAATGTAACGTTTTTTGGGGGGATTTTTTTGCAATAAATCTCTTTGAATAACAGAGTTGATAATAAATTGTCTATGCCACCAGTACAAGAGAAAGGCCTATCTATGGAGATCAAATATTGCCTGCTCTCATTTTACTTTGTTTTTCTATATATTCAGTTATCAACAATGGATAGTTTCAATTCAACAGCAGGACATGTCAATTTTTGAATATATTATACAATTATGGCTAAAGTCGAAAAAGTGATATTATCAAAATAGCGCATGTGTCTCAGGGTAATAGTGCATATTAGCAAACCGAGAACTGAAATAACACCCTAGCCAACATTTTAATGTAATTTTTTTCACCGCTATGCATTATTACTCCAAGAGCCCTTCATTATCGAATTATCGGCCAGGGAGAGAACTATAACATTACAATTTCTTAAATCTATATAGATTTACTTGCCCCTGGGTGTAATTCATTTTCCAATTCGTTACAAAAATGACAGGGGGATATTCATTTCCAGCATGATAGGCCGAAATAACATCATGTGACGTCACATTACACTATGAAGTAAAAAGTTTACATGAGGTATAATACTATTGATTGTTTTGATGAGTATTTGCAGTCATTAATGGATATGCCATGACACGACATACAACTTAATGCATGAATCATCCAATCTAGCAAAATTGTTGAATATTTCCTTGATAAAATAACATGAATAATTTTTTATTATATTGAAATTATGTCTTCTCAAACATACAGTTGACATTATTGTCACCTAAGTGCAGTAATGGGTTAACTCCTAATTAATTATATAAGAAGTTATCCCCATTACTGTACTAAGGTGACAATATTGATGTTACTAAGAATATTTAGATGGTAAATTAATTTATTGTTTTAAACATTTTGTGCCATGTGAATTGTATTCATATATGTTATATTACTTGTTCGTATACATGTACTTATTGGCTGCTGGTGGTGCTCATTTTTTTTTGTTACTGTGCTTTAGACTGTTTATGTGATTATATATAAGATACGACACATTTAACTGTAAAAAAGATATTTTTTCACTGTAATACAAGTTTATAACATTGATATAAATTTATGCAATTATGAATTAATATAATATACATGAATATTAAGAACATTGTAGTTTGTTTGTAATGATATTGCTTTATTTTCCCTATATGGAGTGGTTATGGTTGTTGACTTTAACCACTTGCCCCTCACTTCTGTATGTTTGAGCCACGCCAGCACTTCCGGAGTCTCCACCAAGCTGGCTTAAACATTACAAAATGTTAGCGGTTCTACTCAGGTGTCCGTTTGTGCCCAAAATAATGTTCGGAGGGGCTTCTGAAGTCTTTCTCCCTCAGTAAGGCTGGAAAGTCGCCATATATATGACCTATACTGTGTTGGTGCGACATTAATCCAACCAAAGAGAGAAATATTCCTCTATCCCTGTAAAATCAAGTCCTGAAATGAGTGAATTCTTTTATGTTTGAGAAGCTAGTTGATAGTTCTACCTTGGACCTGACAGGTTCTACTGATGCCCGAAGTATATATATAATACTAGTACTTAAAATGTGTTGTCAGTGTCATAAAACCTAAATATTAAATGATATAAAAAGATAGGTTTTGATATAGAATAAAATGTGGACTGTGTAGAAAAATTTGGGGGCCCATATGCATAAAAATTCCTGCTTAAGCATTGTAAAGCAGCACACTACCAGTTCCATGCTAATTTTCTCAAAAATTTTGAAAATGTATTCAAAAAACGTTTTGGATGGTGCACAACATTTAAGATTTGATGGAGATGTAGGTTGTAGTACGAAAAGTTGTAACCTATTGAATAAAGTATTAACAATATAAAGACAAGAGGGCCAAACAGGCCCTTTATTATTCACCTGAGAAACACTGCATGGTAATAGAATGCTCAGATGAGGTAAAAAGTTATGTCACTGAATAAAGAAGATCAACTGATACTTAAGTTCAAATCGGCATCAGAAACGGTGGCTGTAGTTTAAATTCCAGTGCTCTAAGGACAAAATGTAGTTCACTGGGTCAAAAATCGAGGTCAACGTTCATGTTGCACCTAAACTGCATTAAGTCCACATCTATAGTTGTGGCATATTTACAAAAAGTAAGTCACTGGGTCAAAATTTAAATCAACTAGTGCCATATTGCAAGTTCAAATTGTGCATATAGTCCAATTTTATACCTGTACAGTAGCTTTGAATACAAAACGTAAAGTCACAAAATCAAATGTACGTTCAACTGATATCTGGTCCAAAATTTCATAGCTGGTACTTTTGAATACAAAAAAATAGGTCAAAATTTGGAAGAGGTCAACAGGGCAATGTTTAATACCAAATATCTAAGTTATAGCCAATGAAGTTTCCGTGGCAATAGCCAATGAAGTTTTCCGTGGCAACCACAGTTGCATTGAATAGAATTCTTTGAATAATTTTAAAAAACTTCATGCTAGAAATAATCCTGCATAGAAGATAATATTTGAAACCAAAGGTTGACGGAAGACGATGGACGCGAGAGACCTCTATCCATAGTAACAGTTCTTCTAGAACCAACTTTAGTTTTGTAAGTGAAAAGAAGAACGACAAAGGTTAGAAATCCGCGCAATTTTTTATCATTATACACATGTGCATGTTGTTTCATATGATTGACAAAATGGGATAATCTTAAGAGATAAGGGACAGCTTTTCAAGGTAACAAGTGAAATAAAAATGTTTTATATTTACAAAATCACTCCAAATTCAAATTAATGCAGATTCAAGCAGATAGTCACTTTGAAAAGATGAGTTGAAATATCAATTAAATTTTACAGCTATTTGTTTGGTTTTACGGTGTACAGCACAGTATGGGCCATATGACGCCAAAACATTTGGCTGTTATGAAGTAGAAAATCTGGAAAAGGGGTGATGGTGATCCCTCGGAGGCAATAAACAAACAATATTTGATTTAAACCTTCAGTGTGACACGTTTGTGCCATTCCACGAAAAGCGACGTATAGACTAAATAAACAACAACTAGAAATGTGTCCATAGGAGTGCCCCCACACTCCACTGTTTTGTCAATCTTATGACTCTAGGTCTAATATGTTTTGGGCTACATGTTTTACAAGTTGAAAAACTAATTTGTGTTTACTAAATAAAGGGCAAGAACTTTACAAATACAGATAAAACTACAAGTAAACCCAAAGGTGCATAAGTACACATGCTGACCAACATTATTGTAAACTTCAGGTAACTGCAGGTCAAATACTTTTTTGAGCTATGCTTGAACAAGTTGACAATTGCAAATTTATACTAAGTCAAGGGCAATATTCTAACACAAATGAACAAAATCCACATACAAAACACCAGGTGCACAACTTCACATGCTGAGTAACATGATGTTTCATGACCCTAGGTCAAAAACTTTTTTGAGATCGTGCGACACAAAATGAAAATTGCAAAATTTCTACTAAGTCAAGAGCAATAACTCTACAAATACTCTACATTAATCTCACGAAAATACCCAGGTACACAACTTCACATGCTGATCAACATTCCTGTAAAGTTTCATGACCCTGGATCAAATAGTGTTTGAGCTACATACGATACAAGTCGAAAATTGCAAGGGCAATTTCTCTGACAAAACAGAATAAATCCACAAGCGAAACCCCTGGCACCGTGTTCACAAAGAGATCAAATTTAAAATTCTAATATTCTTCATTGTTTATCCTTATATATTAAATATCTTAACTGGACTTGCAATAGCAAGTTTATGAAATTTTAGAATAAATTTATTGTTATTTTTGCAAGACAAGGGCATTTTACAGTTGATACAAATATTGATACTGATCCTAAAATTGATCCTTATTTTGATCCGATTATTTTTGTATTTGTTTTGTTATTTTCTTATTTTATTCCAAAATAGTTTGGTTTCTTTTCAAATCAGCAAATTCTTACATTTTGAATATTTGTCAT